ATCAACTTAAAGCTTTTTATGCTTTTCATATTGGAGTAGGAAGGGCAGCGATCAGCTAGAGACATCTATGACAAATACTTAACCTACTGACAAAGGTGCGTGGGATCAACGCGTTTTTCTTTAATTTTTTTTTTTGATCACTGCTTGTTCCGATTTTTAAGTTAACTCATCTGTTTAAACAGATTGAAAATCTATAAAAGCTCAAGAAGGGACACAGATGAAATCACCTCAAAGACATAAAGTTAAAGACATCACTATGAAAGTTCAAAATGAAGCGACATTTTGAACTTCAGAAAAGTTCTACCTAGCCATAGATCACAGGTCCCTTTCATCTTAAAATGCATGACCCATTCATTTCGCGCGATCGTCAATGGGAGAAATGAAGTGGTTGAGGCAGAATTCTAAAGCCGCGTATTCACTTTTACGAGATGGTTTGCACGACTGCAAACAACCACGAATTCCACATTTGACTATGTGAAAATTTAATAAGCTGAACTACCAAACTCGCCTTCACCTCCACTTGGCTAAACTTCTCACTAACCGATTCTCATTAATTCCTAATATCTCGAAAACTTTCTGCACGAGTCGGAAACAATGCCTAGATTGTCTCAGATATCAACGGACTTTTTCTAAAACTCCGACAGGGCTACTGGCAAAAAAAAAATTGCATTTGACTGGCAGAACATGCTAATCTCTGTGCTCTTTGCCTTGTTGACAAACCTTCTCTTGAGCTAAGAATGAGCTTCCAAACTTGATAGAGGAGTACGAACGAAACTTATTCTGATCTATTGAGATGTGTTCAGAGTGAATTTCCTGGTTTTGATTCAGATGAAATAATATTGTGAAGATATGCATGATTTTCTCATTAGCAATACAAGCGTGATTGTCTCATTAGCAATACAAAATGCTCAACGTGACAGTGTTTGAGCAGGTAACCAAAATGATATTCTATCTTTTCCGGACTGTAGCTTTTTAACTCAAATATGCCAAAATTCCCAGGTAATTGCTTCAAATAGAGAGCATCGTAGAATTTTCGAATACCTTTATATAGAAAATATAAATAGAAAATAACATCTAATTTGCTCACAACATATCATATCATAGGTTAACAGACTAGTGTAATGTACCTTTGCGGAGCAAAGTACACGGTATTCCTTATTTTTATGAATTGTGTGAATTTTAATGTAATGGCAGAAGAATTAGTTTTCACAAATTTCTGGTTTTTTGC